AGGGAACAGGAAAATACAAGGAGCAAGAAGGCCTCGGAGGCCATAGCAACGCGTGACTCACCAGAGATATGTAACCCCACGACGGGCGCACCAGGAATGGGGATAGACCACTGGTCTTCGTCCACCCATCCACCGTCCCTTTTACCTGACGAAGAATCTCCTCGTTAGAGGGGGCAACGGTGGACAACCGAATGCCTTCGATCGGCTCGTCCGGTGTCATCTCGAACAGGCGCCGCCGCCGAGCCATCAGCAGCAGCACCCCCGGTGGTGGAAGGCCACCATGACCACAGCCGCCGTAAGGCCACAGCCGCGCAGCCTCTCCAGCGCCTCCAGGAGTAGCCGTAGCTTGGGCTGATCAGCTATCGTGACGCCGTACCTCCACTTCTCTGGCTGCCTCTCCATGATTCGCCCAGTGTAGGGGGGAAGACCACCATCATCGTTGCGAAGGTAGAACCAGCTGGTGTACCAGCGACGATTGGTCGACGCGAGCTGGGCTAGGATGTAGAGGAGCTGTCGGTCTTGGCGCACTTGGAGAGTGCAGCCGCCGGCCCTCATCGTCTTCCTCGTGCCCGTCAGCTTGGTGGTATGACCCGCCCAAAAGAGGTGGAGCCACAGCTCCTAGTGGGGGGCAATGCCCAGATACCCCTCGCAGACAACGATGAAGATGGCCGCCTGCGCAATGGAGTTGGGGTTGAAGTTGTGAAGCTCCACACCGTAGTAGTGTGGGAGCACCCGCATGAACCAGTCCGCCGGCAGGCCGAGACTGCACTCATGGAAGGACACGAAGCTCACGATGTAACCATCGTGTGGCCTTGGCTCTGACTCGGCCCCCGGAGCAATCCACTCCGGCATGCTAGGGTCGGTGACCGGGTGGAGAAGGTCGTCGTCGACGAGCGACTGCAGCGTCTCCATGAACACATCGGACAGACCCCAAGGATCCGCCTGAAGGACTACAACACCGCCGACCATTGCGTGGTGGAGAATGCGGGCTACGGCGGTAAGGCTCGCCCTCTCTCTCTCTCTCTCTCGCCCTTCTCCCTTCTTCTCCCCGGCACTCTCTGTTCTTAGCAACGGCTCGGAGGCAGAAAAGGCAAATGCAGGCAAGGTAAGGAGGAGAGGGGTGAGGCTCACCACGTATTTATGCAGGAAGGGGACGAAACGGACGGGCGACGAAATTGGGGAAGTTTCCCTCAAATCTGGCACAGTTAATCCAGATCCGATTTAACCGCCCACGCACCCACCTTTTCCTCATTAATAGCACGCACAGTTATGTCCCATCCGCTGACATCGCGTCGCATCCGACTACAGCAACAGCAGGCCCCGAGAAACCTCCTCAAAAGGCGCGCCCGCCGTTGTCAGTCGATGGGAGGGGAATATCCCCCACCCGATTCCTTTCAGACTAAGGAACTGGGCGCCGAGCCCATTACGGTCCAGGGGTTAGAAGGCTAGGCCCCCGAGGGTCTCGACAGTCGCCCCAGGACAACAGAGTCAGGGAAAACTATGGGCGAGCCCGTACATGGCCGAGGCCCGAGCAAGCGATCGCTCGGGATGCCCTAAGTCGTGTCCGAGACCGGCAGGGAGGTCTCCGAATGGGATCCCACTGTAGGGAGGTGCCGAGCCCCCGGGGCCAATCGAACGGCCCTAGGACCCACTAGAGAAGCCCTCTGGTACTTTTGGTGTGCGTCTCTGGATCGCTAGCCGACCCCTATCGAATGGGCACGGGCCTCCACTCGGACTTACCCGATAACAGCTCACCGGAAGTGTCACCGCTCGCGCCCACCGAGGGTAGCCTGACATATTCCACCCCTCCTTCCGAACGAAAAGGATGTGCGAGGGTCGCACAAAAAGCCAGGGGAACTCCTGATCGCCCTCTCGCTCCGTGCACAGGCTCGGGGGCTCTTCCTGCAAGCTTGCTGAGACTCAGCGACCCAAGCTCACACTCGAGAGCTCGGCAAACAACCCCTCCTTCCGAATGAAAAGGATGCGCGAGGGTCGCACAAAAAGCCAGGGGAACTCCTGATCGCCCTCTCACTCCGTGCAGAGGCTCGGGGGCTCTTCCTGCAACCTTGCCGAGACCCAGCGACCTAGGCTCGCACTCGAGGGCTCGGCAAACAACCCCTCCTTCCGAATGAAAAGGATGCGCGAGGGTCGCACAAAAAGCCTGGGGAACTCCTGACTGCCCTCTCGCTCCGTGCGGAGGCTCGGGGGCTCTTCCTTTACCCAAGACAAAAACAAGCAACCCAAGCTCGCACTCGGAGGCTCGGAAAAACACGATAAAGGGCACCGAGCCCGTTACGGTCCAGGGGTTCGAAGGCTGGGCCCCCCCAAAGGTTTCGACAGCCGCCCCATGACAAAAAGAGTCAGGGATGACTGTGGGCGAGCCCGTACATGGCCAAGGCCCAAGCAAGCAAATGCTTGGGATGCCCTAGGTCATGTCCGAGACCGGCAGGAAGGTCTCTGAATGGGATCCCACCGTAGGGAGGCATCGAGCCCCTGGGGCCAATCGAATGGCCCTGGGACCCACTAGAGAAGCCCTCTTGTACTTTTGGAGTGTGTCTCTGGACCGCTAGCCGACCCCTATCGAATGGGACACGGGCCTCCACTCGGACTTACCCGATAACAGCTCACCGGAGATGTCACTGCTCGCGCCCACCGAGGGTAGCCTGGCATCCTCCACCCCTCCTTTCGAACAAAAAGGATGCGCGAGGGTCGCACAAAAAAGACAGGGAAACTCCTGATCGCCCTCTCGCTCTGTGCAGAGGCTCGGGGGCTCTTCCTGCAAACCAAGCCAAGACCCAGCAACCCGAACTCGCACTTAGGGGCTCGGCAAACGCGATAAAACTCCTCACTCAAAACAAGGAAAAAGCCCTCGGAGGAGTAAATCCACTCCTCCAGGGCCTCGGGGGCTACACCCGGCGGGTGCGCTCGCGGGCACCCACCGGAACCAAGAGTACAAAACACAATCCCGACGGGAGCTGCTGCAAGCCAAGTCTCGACAAAGCCTCAGGGAGAGTGCTCGCACTCTCCCCGAGGCTCGGGGGCTACTGTCGGATACCATAAAAAGGGGTACCCTAAGTAAGAACCAAAAAGATTGCTTAGACCTTGCAAATATCAAAGCCGAAGGACAACCACGAGGCCTCGGCCGATTCTCCGATTCGCCTGAGGCCCGCGCCGTAAAGGCCTCGGACGAAAAGCCAACTCTCCGCCTCGCCGAGGCCCTCTCGCCCGAGGCCCTGCCCCGCAAGGCCTCGGACAGGTTACCGATTCTCCGATTCGCTCGAGGCCCCGCGCATAAAGCCTCAGACGAAGTACCGATTCTCCGACTCGCTCGAGGCCGGCTCGGCAACAACCTCGTCGCCTCCGTCTCGACCGACTTCTCTGACAAAACGTCACGTCCAATTAACGCGTCCAACCACTCCCGCAATGTTAGCCGCACGCCGGCGCAGTACAGCGGAGTGGCCGATGGGACGGGAGACATGACTGGGCAGGGGTTACCAGCCACTGTGCTCGGCACTGTGCCCATAACTGACGCCCGTACTGCACTGTGCTACCTAACTCCTACTCTAGGAACAACGCGGCGTGGGGAGTCAAGTCCAGATCACTATAGCCTCGGAATTAGTGTATAGGACCAACTGCGGCAATCCACTTCAGGGTCTCGGCAGCCTCAGGATTCGCTCCCGCCGAACCCCCCACGATGGCTCGGCCTCGGCACCAACTGAGCCTCGGCTTTTTACACTGTCAACGCATAGCGACCGGCACGTCGTCGGTCATGCCCTGCGCCAAGCTATCACTGGAGCTCCCACATCGCACAAGATCGGGTGTGACCAGCGCGTTGCTCCAGTGCATCAAGGACAAGACCGCTCCGTTGACCATGCCGCCACAGTAGTAAGCTACAGGGCTCAGACACGCCACCTCCGCTCACAAGACGCCGCATAGCAAACGCATGTATCACCCATGTCCCCCCTTCAACTATAAAAGGAGAGACCGGGGCCGTTTCTAGAGACAGGAAGACAGACGAACTCATGCATAGGCTCACGTAGATTCAGACACACACGCTCCCCCGCTGCCTGAGAGCAACGTCTCAAGCAGCCCACACCGCTCCATGCAGAGGCCCGGGACTAGCTCCCTCTCTCGCTCAGCTTGTAACCCCCTACTACAAGCACTTCGGTGCAAGGAATACAAGATCGATCTATCAGACTGGACGTAGGGCACCAATTGCCTGAACCAGTATAAACCTTGTGTCTCTTTGCATCACCATCCAGGATTAGGGGCACGCGGTTCAAATTCACTAGTTGGTTGAGGACCCCCGGTCCGAAACACCGACATTGTTTCTTAATAAAAATCATGTCTACATGAAAATCAAGACACGAAAAGATATGATAGGTAGATGAGCGAGAGAGAAGATGTGCAATTGGGTAAAAGATTATTCTGTAGAAACTATTCATCGGAGTTTCTAGTGTCTACGTCATAAAACTATACATGGTTTCGGAGATGTCTTACTTCACGACTTCTCGACGATCAGACCCTTCTCTCCACCCCATTTGCTCCCCACTCTAGCGATCGACACGCGTCTGCCGCTGTCTAATTGCATGACCCGACGTGCCCCAATGCTATGAGCGCAACTGCTCTTGAGACCCACCTCAACCCTAACAGCCCTTTGCTCCTTTGCAACCGCGACGCTGCTAAAAAGCCCGCTCCCTTCACCCACACATCCAATGTCGCGCAATATATATTGATTTGATCCCACGAATCATTCACCCTCCAGATATCACAACACAAACAGGAACATGCTAAATAGCATAAGAAACGACACATGCAAGCATTCAAATGGGGAAGAAATCTGTTGACAGATAAATAGCAATCCAATAACATATTTTCCCATTTCATCAACCTTGGAGGTGATACCAAACCAACAAAGAACTGCATTAATCAGGCAGAATGCATCTTAAATTATGAACTCTCCCGGTGATCCTTGGGCCTGAATAACTACTCATATCGCGTTACAAAGAGGACTTTGGAGCTGGAAGCAAGAAGTTCAGGATTGCCTCGTTGAACCGCTTTGGATCCTCTTCCTGAGGCATGTGGCCGGTGTCCTTGAGGACCTCCAACCTAGCATTTGCTCCAAGTTTCCTGCATTTGCATTTTTCCTTTCGTAAGTTTTAAATGCCACACGTGAAATCAAACTGTACAAGGTGAGATCAGCATGTACTGACCTTGCCACTTCAAATGCTTTCTCGACAGGGAATATCTGATCATGCTCTCCCCACAACACAAGGACTTCCTGAAAGATTGGACATATGTTGGGTAAGAAGATCAAATATGGAATGGTAATAACTAATAATGCGTTGCTGTTGCTAAGTATTTAGGAAGTACCTGGGGGAGAGGTGTAAGCTGGAATTTTTCTTTGTTACCCAGTGTTATCCCCTTGATTAGCTCCTTCTTCTCTTCTACTTTGTCGCTGTACAGATACTGCAGCAGAGTCTTACTGTTACTCAAATCTAGAGGTCGTAGTCATGCAATCATGCTGAGATCACAGAGGTAGTTTCTATCAAAAGTAACGGATACTGTGTTGTGTTTCAGTCTCCAGAACCAAAGATAAGACTGCACTTCAGTACTTATTGAGTATATTGACATTATAATAGGAAATCTACTACTAACTTCAGCCACGGCCTGGATTTAGTAGGCCTTCCATTGTTGACGTTGACTACTCTCAAGTTCCAACTTCCAATTGAATCCAGAACCGGCTGTTGTACAATGCCAACACCGTGGTCCTTTTCAAGACTGATACTGAACATGTGCAGTGGCTGTTCTTGTAATTGCAAAGAAATTACGATGGGGTAGCATACCAAAATATGGCAGCCGAGCTAATACAATGGTTGTGTCTGCCCATTTGCCAAGCACTAGTTTGCCGTCAACGTCAACAAAGGAAGGCCTACTGAACGGACGTCTAGACGCTCTGAGGTCGGGGAAAAAGATGGCCGCGATGCCTGTCGTCGTTTGTTGGAATGCAGGTAGGCAGGCAAGCATGCAACGACGCGCTTGTACTGGTCACTGACCTGTACTGTACTTTACTGCTACTCTGCTAGTAGTTCTAGAAGGATCTGGGTGTCTAGAGCGGGCATCCAGGATTGATTGATTGATTGGAAGAGCGGCACGACCGCAGGAACGGTTGGGAAACGAACGGAAGCTAGGCCGCGGCTGCTGGGAGTTGATAGCGATTCAGCGTGGCAGTTGGGAAACCCGGGAAGCGAGGATCCGAAGACGAGGAACCTGGCGTCACGTCATCGCCAGGCGACGTGGCATGGCAGTTGGCACCGTCTCGACGTGACGTGGAGGCCCGGCCATCTGGCCATGCATGAATGCGACACTCCGATGCAACCGAGCAGCGAGCCAGATTGCCTAAAGGAAGGACTCGATCCCAACGCGACACGACGAGCACGCGAACGATCGAGCTTATTGTTTGACCGGAAGCACGATCGCATCTTATATTTCTATCTAGTGCTTTGAGTTGTATAGTGTAGGAATTCAGGCATGGATCGAGGAGGAGTTTGCGGTTACCTGGACGAGGTCGCGGAGCACGAAGCCCGGCGTGAAGCGGCGCGGGCGGTGGTAGGCGAGCTGCAGCAGCCGCCGCATCTGCTCCGGGGAGCGCGGCAGCATGACGTCCTCGACGCGCTCGGCGCCGCTGCGGCGGAGCAGGGCGCGGTCGTCGTTGGCAGCCTTGAGCAGGTCGGAGCTGGCGATGACCACCCGCTCCACCGCGGCGGGGCCCAGCAGCCGCGCCACGTGGTACGCCACGAACCCGCCGTAGCTGGTGCCGGCCACGGACACGCGCACCGGCGTGCCCGGCTCCGGCGCCACTACGGCCGCCACGAGCTTCGCCACCGCCTCCGCCTGCTGCGCCTCGGAGACCCGCCCGGCGCCGGGCGCCGACGTGGTGGACGAGCCGCCGAAGAAGAGGAGGTCCGGGACGATGAGGCGGAACCGGCGCGAGAGCGGGCCCACCTGGCGCCGCCACTGCCACGTCGCCGGGGGCCCGAAGCCGTGCAGGAGCACCAGGACGGGGCGGGCGTCGCCCTCTTCGTCATCGGCGGCGCCCGGCGAGAAGCGCCAGCAGTGGACCGTGGTGGCGCCGCCGTCCAGCGGGACGGAGGCCTCGACGAGGCCCGCCGCGGCGAAGCGGCGCCGGAAGTAGGCGTCCAGCAGCGGCGCGATGCCCAGCGTCGGCATGGCGTGGCGTGGCGTGGGTGCAGAGCGGCGGGTAGCGGCGTCCCTGTACCTGGATCCAGAGGAGGGTTGGTGTGGTGTCTTTACGGACGGGCGGGAGTCCGGATGGATGAGACCAAAGTTATTAGCACCGGACCGGAGATTGAACCGGTAAGGCCGTCGGTTCACAACTGTTTAGAACCGGTTGAACTGCTGGTTTAATTGTTTTGGACCGGTTAAATTAAACCGGTCACAAATACATTAAACCGGCATATATGTATATGCTATAATTAATAATTGATAAATTGTAAACAACACAATTTAATTGTACAACCATAAGGTTCATACATATGCAGAGAATAACATGTTCTTAAATTCAAAACATACAAGCTCCACAAGTTTTAGTGCTCCAGAGTTGTTTTATAATATATATATATATATAAACAAATGGAAACATAATACATGGAGCACTTACCAATTAGTGCAAAAAGGACTTGAATAGTAATTCAAATATTCACCATTGCAAAACAATCTTAAATATTAAAATAAAGTGCGCTATTGCGAAGAGCTCGTTGAGATAATCAAAACGGATATTATTTGACTAATTTGGAGTTGGTATGACAAAGATATAAATTTTGAATTTTAAAAGGCACTGACATCAGCGCAGCCAAAATTCAAACGTAGCTCAGCATGCATGCCAACTGTGCAAGCGTGAACCACCACCGGTGGTAATAGCTAGGCAGGGGACAGGCGGGGCCTACCAACAGCAGCTGCAGGCACACGCGCCACCCACGAACCAATCAGCAGCATGCTGCGGTGCTGCTCGCAGATGACCAGCAAGAAACCGTCCGGTCCACATGGAACCGCCCGGTTCGCCGGTTCCTTAAAAAACCGGCCGATTCAACCGGTTTTTAGCGGTCTGATTGTATGAACGGTCTTTTAAGTGAACCGAGCCGGTGTAGTCTCTGGTTCGGTCTTTTACCGGTCCGACCGCTGGTCCGGTCCGATCCAAATAACTAGGGATGAGACAGATTATAAATGGAGACCGTCCGTGCACTTTACAGTTAATGGCACATGTTCTTTTGGTTTCTGGTCTTCTGGAGATGTACTACTCGTATAAATTTCGCTGGTGCAGTGGACAAAGCTTGGACGATGAGTAGATATACGTAGCAAAAGGTTACTTTCAAAAAAATATACGTAGCAAAAGGGAGTTTGCAAATGTCACGATCACGAATCACGATTGATCACGTGTGTGGTGTTTACAGTTTACCTGAAGATCGAATTTTATCTTTGGGTAGGGAAGAGCATTGAACAGATTGTGTCTTCACAAGCGGTCCAAGCGGACGGAAAATATCAAACGAACATGAGTTCATGTGCACTACTACTCCTATACAAGTACTCTTTTCAAATTCTAAGTTGTTTTGTCGTGTATCCAAATATAACATATATCTAAGTACATAGTAATACATAGCAAGATTTATTATATCTTAAAAAGTCATTTATTGTACCTTAAAAAGTCAAAATGAATTATAATTTAAAAAGAAGAGGGGGTACATAGAATAGAAAGTATATAAAATACGGACTTGGGAGGTTAGCAGCCATGTTCCATGAGGAAATGAAAACGTGAAACAAGAATTTAAGGTGTTATTTTATTAAACGTAAATGTTTCCGAATCAGGAGCATAGACGTTCCCGAAACGAGGAACGCGACCATGTTCTAAGAGCCTGTTTGGAGGGGCTCCTATGGCTCCGGCTCTGGGTACTGTAGTAGTACCGTGGAGGAGCCACCGGAGCCCCCAAATCCCTGGCTCCTCTGGCTTCTCTTGTTTTCACGATGCTTTTTGTTTGGGCTCCTTCCGTTCGGCTTCTTGCTACAGGTAAGAACAGCGCTGTACAGTGCTGCTGCGTAGGGAGCCGATGCCAAACACTGCCTAAGTTTCCAGCTGCTAAGCTCGGAAGCTAAGACGACACTTAAAAAATTTCTCACACAACCACACGTTGTTTATATTATTATTATTATCGTAAAAAATCACGTGTTAGTTCACAGTGGCAGGAAAGTACGGATTCAGCGTGTTCATAGATGCGCGCAGGTGTTTAGCATATCTCATTCCCTGAACAGGTGCGCGCTCTTAAGGCCCCTTTTGTAGCGCTTCTCCACCAGCTTTAAGAGCTGTTTGGAGCCGTTTTCTGCCAAACAGGGTAAGGTGAAATAGCTTCACTGGTGAAGCCCCTAAAAACATGCTCTCACAATGATTTGGGGTGGGATGGAGAAAAAAAAAAGTGGCTTCTCCCGCTCCTCCTCCAGACCCCTAAAAACATGCTCTCACAGGGAAGCCATTTTGCCAAACGGTTTACCAAAACCGGTTCAGCTCTACCGGTGAAACTGTTCGTGGAGCTGAAGCAAAAAAACAAATGACTTCACTAGTGAAGTAAAGCCCTGCCAAATAGGGCCTAAGTTTCTATAAACTCTCATGCAACAACATATGCTGAATAAACCAGGTAAATCATATATGCAACTAACACAAGCGCAAGCGGCAAGCCAATAAGGCAAGCCCATGACCAACCGTTGATTTTCAGCTTTCATCTTCGCTGTCTGGCAGCTGCAGCTAGCAGTCATGGCATTGAGCCGGGGTCTCGCTGCTGCTGCTGCTTCTTGCTAGCACTGACAGTCTGCCACTGTGTTATTTCTAAATCCCGGAATCAGGATCAGAACCATCATCATCATTCTCGGTTTCCTCAACCTTGATCAGCCCCGCCAGCATAACGGGACGAACAAGTAGCTAGTTCTGGCTCAGCATTGTGTCCTCAGGAGTCATGAGGGAGGAGAGGGATCGATCCAGGAGGATCAGTTGGCAGTAGCCATGTGCAGAGGGGTGGCATTCCTGCTACGTGCCAGTTCAAAGATCCAGTCCAAAGTGGAGACATTCGTCAGGTTACGACGAACCTACAATCCACGAGCCAACTTTACTTCAAAGATGGTTCTTTTACAAAAGAAAAAAGGTGTGACTACAAAGGTCGTGAAAAAGATCATTAGGTGAGCAACTCAGCGAGGAAATTTTTTGGAATTTCGTGGTCATTCCTTCTAGAAACAGGGGAAGCGATAACAAATCTGCCATGCACCAGCAACAACCGTCTTGGCTTCTGTGTTTGAGATCCAGGAATTCATCAGCTTGGAAGTGACAGCCTTCCAGAATTGCGGAAAAGCTTGAACTGCATGTATGAAACTCTGATTATCTGGTGTTCTTGCAAATACCGGCCAGGTGCGCAAGATCAACTGCAGACACCGAGACAAGACACTGAACGATGGATAAACAGACCTATACATCCACAGTTTCCCGTCAAAAGGCTCCCTACTTCGACGCGATTCCGCCGATCCGTGAGTAAAGATTCAGAAATGCGCAGGGATTCAAACACCAGGAAACGTGTAGGTGTAATCAAGCAACCTAACAGTTTCCTCAACACAATGGAACGGTGTATCGGGATTATTCGGGGCTACCTTGCTGCTTGGCGGTCCAGGGGAGAACGCGGACTTGGCCCGGATGGCGAGGCGCACGTCATCGGCCATTCGGCCTCGAGCGAATGAGCGATACATGCCGGCGTGGTCGGCGTAGGCCCTGGCCTCGCTGAGCACATCGCCGGGGAAGCGGTGGGCGTGCTCCTCCAAACGGTACAACACCGGCGAGTCGTACGGTGGCGGCCATTAGGGCAGTGAGAGGGAAAATGGGGCGTATGGCGGGGTGACAGTGACACATGTTTGAGTATTCCGATTACTGTGTAATAGGTTCTATATCATATTTAGCCACGCATACCAACAACGACGCTTTGGCCGAGTGGTTAAGGCGTGTGCCTGCTAAGTACATGGGGTTTCCCCGCGAGAGTTCGAATCTCTCAGGCGTCGTATTCTTTTTGGATTTTTTTTTTTTTGCAAAATATATATTTTCCCCTTCCCTCTCGTCTCTTCATTGCTTCACTTTTCAAATTTTATCAGGTTCCTTCACTTTCCAAATTTTAACAGGTTCCTTCACTTTCCAAAAATTTATAACTAAGTAAGAAAAACATATACAGTTTGGTCTGAAAAGAATAGGCCAAATTTCACCATTGGCTGAGTTATTTTTTTCCTGAACTGAAAAGGAGCAGGAGCTCTGCCTTGCCTTAGAGATCGGAGAAGAAGAAAAAACAGTGCAAACAGAAAGTTTAGCACGAAGTGCTAACGATCGGACGTCTCGACGTCCGCGCTTGCACTCTGTTTCCCCCTCGCACCTGCGTCGCAAGCCCGCATACACGGGCCCGCGCCACCCGCGTGAGGAGTCTCTGCTCACGCCCCCTCCGCTTCTCACGCACATGCACGTGGCCAGCAGCTGCAACAGGTGACCAGCAGATGTGGCTACACCAGCATCCAGAAAGAGGGGGAGGGCGCGGCGGATGCCCAGCCAGCGCCGGGAGGAGGAAACACCAAGGCGAAGGTGAGGCAGCAGAAAAACGAAGACAGAGATGCAACACCCGATCTACTTTTGAAACATTCGGATACAACACTTGCAAGATACGTCTGAAAGCAGATGAAACACATGAAACATGTATCTAAAACACTAGCTGCAACATCAGATCTACTTTTGAAACATCTAAATAAAACACTTACAACATACATACGAAATAGCTGAAACACTCGAAACATGCATGTGAAACACTTGCAAAAAACAACTAAAACACTTCATATGTGTGAAAAACATATGCCACATCCAGATGAAACACTTGCGTCTGGAAAACGAGATGAAACATTTCGAACATACGTATATAGCCACTGCAACATGTGCAACATTCTGATCTACTTTTGCAACATCAAGAATGAAACATCTGAAAATATTTGAAACATACTCTTGCAACATGGTTTTTGCTCGAACAAATGGAGGCACGCTGGCGCGGAGGTCGACGGCGGCACATGGACCTCACTGTGCGGCAGCGGCACGGGCAACTCGCCGGCGGGCGTGGTGTCACACGAATCTCATCGCCCTCGCGTGCTTGCTGGAGTATCCATCGTGGAGGCTCACCGGCTCGGTGGAGGCGGCCATGCAGCGGGTTGGCCTTTTGCGAGGAGGAGGCATGTGGGAGGTGGGCGAGGCAGACCGGCCTTGTGGGGAATGCGGCCGAGGAGGCAAAGACGGCGGGGACCGGCGGCGGCGGCGGCAGTGGGGTGGGCGGGATGGGTACAGCGGCGACGCTGGGAGGAAATCTTGCAGCAAGCATCGGGGCGCAGCAGCAGACGAGACGAGCGGATAGGGTCGTTGGATTAAGCGGCGTGTGTGGAGTGAGCGATGGGACGCGTCTGTCCGCATCTGGACATCTTAATTATATCATTATCGCAAGACAAAATGTCCTTTTTGCTGCTAAAAACCGTAAGCACACCGTCGTTGGTGATACATTGTCATTTCCTGAGCTAAAACTCTGTGCATCATGTATTTACATGCTATCTTCTTTTGACTTTAATGAGGATACCATATGTCACACATATCGGTTACAGAGCTTTGATGACTCTTTCTCATTTCTATTTTGTCTAAACAGGGGAATCTAAACTTCAGATGATTTACATGGGTCCACGTCATGTATTTACAAGGTAGGGTGTTCTACGGCTGTCAGGATTGAGAAACGGCGAGACATTGATCAAACTTTTGGTGGAACTCCCTCGTGTAACCTCTGCATTTGCATGGGGTTGAAGGAATCAGTTCAAGCACGTCGCCCATTTTTAGCTCCTGGTTCCAGTTGTGGACGACATGGCAGTTCAGCCTCAGCCTCAACGGCATCCCGGAGTTAGAGGACCTATTCAGTAGGTCCACTATCGTCCAATGTTGGGGGATTTCTTGCACTGACATCTGCAAACAGATAAAAAAATTACTTTTGTGGTTAATCAGAAGGTACAACATCAAAAGATAAGAGATACCTTTTCATTCTCCAGAAGTATTACTAGTACTGGCCCTTTGTGATCGCATTGTTTCGAGTAAGACAACAGACAGGCATCAGAGTGAGATGGAATAGTGTGCGTTTCCTTTGATGAAGCATCACGTGCAAGTGATGAAGGATGGTCTGTGTTCAGAGTTTGACAATGCCATGTAATAACCCATCTAACCCACTCAACCATTTCAGAAACAGAGGTGCAGCAACTCCTAGCAGCAACTTCCTTATATCTCCAATGAGCAGCAATTCCAAACTCTGCCTGCAAATGCATGTCCCTCGTACGAATTTGGATTTCAAGTGGCAGCGTTTCTTCGGTGAGAACAACTGTATGCAGGGACTGATATCTACAAGTTAGCAAACATTCTTCAGTAAGCATTGTGGATTACATTATTGCATATTATTCTCTTCGTTCCAAATTATAGTTCACTTTGATTGTTTCAAAAAAAAAATCACTTTGGCTTTCTCCTAAGTGAAACTTGTCTAACTTTAACCAAATTTTTAGAAAAATATATTAATATCTACAAGTTCAAATAAATGCACCATCAAACATATTTCATAGAAAGTTTAATTAAACAAAATTTGATGTTATAAATGTTGATGCATTTTCCTATAAACTTGGTTGGAGTTAGAGAAGTTTGAATTAGGACAAGCCAAAGTGAACTATAATTTGGAATGGGGGGAGTAATATCCTATTATGAATCAGTAACATGAATTTACAAAGTAGTACCTGTTGGGTTTGGGACTGTTGATATAATCTTTGAACTTGCCAGGAATTCTAGGCCATAGGTGATGGATAATCTCTAACGCAGCAAAACAATCAGCCTTGTTCTCAAGAATAACACGCACCCCATGTATATCATAAATTTCATCCATGGCCAGCTTCTTCCTAAAATGAAGTGGAATCACATGAGCACATTCAATGATATATTTCAGGCTCCCATCTTCATCAGATTGTTCAGTAAAGCTTGTTGAGGACTCTGTTACAAGGGAGAACAAATTGTAGGACTACATAACAATAGAAATAATTTTGTTCTGTTCATTCTAGTGGTACAAATGAAAATAAAAGAGCACAGTACTCCCTGTTACCTTGCCATCTTGCTGTAGATGCTGTACAAGCTCTTGTGTCTCCCATATATGGCATAATAGGATAGTCCTCTCACCTGAAGGGCTTGTTCAAGTCGCCTTGTTGCAGCTGCAATCATATCTCTGTTGTGGAACTCAGTAAGGCTTGTTGACAGTTCATCAAATTTATCTGGGCAAAGATACTTGAAGCACAGGTTTTCAAGCTGTTCCTTCCAATTCAAGATGCCCAACTGATTCGCCAAGGGAGCAAATATCTCCAGTGTTTCCTTTGCAAAGCTCTGCTGTTTGTTCTTGGGCAAAGAATCCAGAGTCCTCATGTTGTGTAGCCTGTCAGCAAGTTTAATGAGCACAGCTCTTGCATCTTCCATTGCAAGGAAGATTATACGTAATCTGTCAGCTTCATCAATTCTACTGGCTGTATCATTTCTACGAGCCAGTTTGCTCAGATGACTAAGCTTTGAAACCTAAAAAAAAAAGGCAACAATACTATTGTTTAGTGATTTACTCAAATGAGACAATATCCTCATCGTCTCCAAAAGAATAAACCAAGATGTCACAAGCAACTGAAGTTTCCTCAACATATATTAGGCGTGAATGTTGACTTTAGACAACCTACATATCGTTTGTTAGCAGAACAAACAACAGCAAAAAACTTCCATATCCCAAATAAATTGGTGTAACACCATAATCTAAGGATTATAGAGGTGATAGTAACGTGATACCTAACTAGGATAGACATAACAAGAATCCTTTCTAGAAGCTCCATGAACAAAGTAACAACCGATAAGTTCTGTCAATCACAGTCAGAGATTTAGCAGCACGCAATCCCTACAAAGCCAATAAATACCAGAATAAAACTAGAGGGGTCCGTGAGAAGGCTTCTTTGTAGAACTGCAGTCGTTTGTGATCTGATCTTGCACTCCTGCGCCACTTATGTTACGCTCAAGTGCAGGGCATCGATGACATACTCTGGTATAGTGGTATTTGTTATGTTGTGGTCAAAATGTGGAATAATAATGCTACCTGCAATAAGGGGGTTTTACCAGCAATACCACATTCAATAAGGTTACTGTAGCATATAGTTAAATTACATTATCTAAAACCAAGAAATCATTATCGCCAGTGCTCAGTCAATCATATCGAAAGGGATCAAAGTAATTACCCCCTTGACAAGGTCGGCGACACCGGCACCAAAATGCTCGGAGATGAAACCGTAGCTCAGCCCCGCGTCATCAACCGTGTCGTGCAGCAGGCCAGCAGCGACGACGGCAGGGAAGGCGCCCAGCTCCGCGAGCAGTGCCGCCGTCTCCACGCAGTGCTGTAGGTACGGGTCGCCGCTCGCGCGCACCTTACATTGGGCAACCAATCGCGCATTCAAGCAAACGCAGTTCCGTCACTTCAGCAGCTTGGAGTGCAGACCATGACCGAATAAATGCAAATGCGAGCAACCGGGACACGATCGCGCACCTGGCCTCGGTGAGCCGCCTCTGCGGCGGCGAAGGCCCTCCGCACGAGCTCGTCGCTGAAGATGGCGTGCCGCGACTGTGCGCCGGCTATCAGCGCCGCGGACTGGCCGTCTCCGCCCAGCGCCACGGCGGCGCGGGCCCGCCTGGCAGACGCGGAGCCCCGGCACGGGGCCCGGGATTCGAAGGAGTCGGCTGAGCGCGAGAGAGACAAGTACGGCGGACTCCGGCTCGCCCGCAGCTCGCCGGCGGCCGGGGCGCCGCGAGCGGCCAGAAGCTCCAGCGACGGCGCGGGTGGCTGCGGGGCAAGGCGGGGGTGGGGGCGGCACTTGACCGGGCAGGCGATCGACGGTGTCATGGCTCGCCGGCGGTTGGCGGCCACGCGAATGGAGGCGACTGGCTTGCAGGCGAAGGAGTGGAGAGGCGATGCAAGAGGCGTCGTGGAAAATGATTTGGGGAGCCGGGGGCAAGTTATCGCTCATTTGCTCTTTGGCCCTCGTGTTGTTATCCGTTTGCTCTCTACACCTTAGAAATGCTAATACTACTTTATATTCTGCTCTCTCCGTTTCAAATTATAAGTATTTTTCGTAACGTGTCTAGATATGCTATTGTATCTGGACGCATATCAAAATAGAAGTGTCAAAAAGAGTCGAATCGACCTATAATTTACAACGGGGGAGCATAAAATATGTTCTATAAAACTTGATGTTTTGTAGCAATTCAAGGGTGCCCTGTGCAAGAATGCGAGATGGTGTTGCGTGCAAAATGCAACCGAGAAGAACAGCACGAGGACGTCACTCTTATTAGGCCCCGTTTAGTTCCAAGCCAAAAACCAAAAAATTTCAAGATTCTCCGTCACATCAAATCTTACGGCACATGTATGGAGTACTAAATGTAGATGAAAAAAAAACTAATTACACAGTTAGCCGAGAAATCGTGAGACGAATCTTTTAAGCCTAAATAGTCTATAATTGAATAATTTTTGCCAAATAAAAACAAAAATGTTACAGTAGTCAAAAGCCAAAAATTTTCGGAACTAAACGGGGCCTTAGTAGAAACGGGATGAGAACGACGGGTAGAAACTACGCCCCGGTTCGTCTTCGTCCACAAGCATGACTGCAGGAAGCGCGTCCCAAAACGGCAAAACGTGCCTATATCTCCCTGGCACGTGGGCCCCAGCGTCCAAGTGTGACGCAACGCACGGCGGCCGTCTCGGCGGGAACTGGGAACGGACAAAAAACTGAGGGACACACACGGGTTCGGTTCCTTGTGCGTGCGGGGGAGGGTTTGCGTTGCCGGCTCAGCAAGGCTGCAGAGAGAGGGTGCCGGATGCGAATTTTTTTTAACATTTTTTTTAAACTAATTTTAAATCTAACACTGTTTTTTTTAAAACTAATACTTTTGGTCACGTCAATTGCCATGGCGCGGCGAGAGGGCTGACGTGGTGACGACCGGGGCGCTGACCGGTGACGTGGCAGGGTCTGCCGCGCCACCGATCTTGACGCGGCAGTGACGCGCCATAGCCCACGGCGCGGCAGGACCACATAAATAACGCCCGCGAGCCGCCCTCCCTCCCTCCTGCCTGCCCTCCTGCCCGCAGCGCCGCCGCCGCGCCACGCACGCCGGCGCGATACGGACGCCCTCACCGCAGTTCAACCCTCGCTGAAGTAAAATTTGGTGCATATTTCTTTATAATCAAAACTCTCATACCTTCACTACCCCTTTATATTAATTGTTAGCCATTAGATTGAGAGATTCTTTTAAAATATGTTTTAGTCATTAATTTATCTTACATTGTATTATTATTTATATACTTTAATTGTTAATTTTCTTACAATGTATTATTAATTATAGCGAAAACAAATGTCTAATTAAAAGACACGTGAAATATAAATCTATTTATGTGTTTTTTGTGCACTAGACATACATATATATAGCGACAAATTTGGTTGGTTGAGTTTTTATGATTTAAATTGTTATATGCTTGTTTTCTTACATAGAAATATTAATCCAAATGATCATTTTACTCAAGCATATATTGAAAGTACTAGAACCTCCAAAATCATGCACAACATCGTCGATATCGTGAAGCTATGAGTCCATCATAGCATTGTGTGAAAAAGTAGACATCTTGTATTTTTAGACATATTAGTATATAGTATAGGACTAAGTATGACACACATGACAGTTCTCAATCAATTCATCTTATATTGGGGTACTCATCCCTAGGTTAAAATTATAATGAGCTGCTCTAGCAGATGCAGTCAAGCTATTGTAATAATTTAATAAGAAACACGTAGTCGTTTGAAGAAGAACAGTGTAGCCTAGTGCGGTTTGTTCTACCGAATAGCAATTTAGAACACGTAGTCGTTCCAGAGCCTAGCTGTGTCCGGGTTCCTCTTTGCTACCTTGTTTGTCGTAGTACCGAGTTCGTTGGGTCTTGTAAGATGTGTAATCTTCTATTTTTTTAAGTCATTTGTAGTGGAAAGAATCATGTCTTCTGAGTTGTCGTTCTTTTTTCTGCTAAAGTCCTGATTGTTTATGAGATTCTCGAGTTCTTTCTATAAGAACCGGGTTCTTATGTTCCTTTTGGAGTAACCCTTCGCTGCTTCATGGTTGATGAATTCTTTTTGTAGCAATATGATAAATCCACCATGGTGTTGGATGGATAAGTCTGAAATCTGCCCGTTGAACTGTACCGTTGTGTGGATTTGTGCCGTCCGTCATTTTAGCTGTGTCAGTAAATGGACCGTTGCATCCTCATGCCGTGTTAAAACGGGCCCGGTGGACCACGTTTTACTGCTGTAAAATTTATTTAAAGGCCTTTCGTCTTCTTTTTCTTTACTGTCTGCTTTTGCCTTGAAACCCTAGTCTTCAAAGTTCCGCCGCCGCCATTGTCACCGTCATCTGAGCGCCGCCGCCTGAGCATCACCTTTCCTTAGTGCTTTTATTGCTTTTGCTAGTATATGGGTAGGAAGAAAGCAGCGAGCAAGTCACAGGCAGCCTTTGTGGACGAGGAGGTCTCGCTTTCCGTGATCAAGAATCAAGAATTCATGGCCATGAGGGCCGCTCAGAAGATCTGGCCGGCTCCGACTACAACTGAGGATCAGTTGCGTGAGCTTGTTAGTGATGGTCTGATCTAGAGCAAGGATATCGCTGATTGGAGAGCTCCAGGCGAGCATCGGGTCCCTACTCCAAGTCCTGGTGAGATTATTCTTTTCGTCTCCTTTATCTGTGCCGGATTCTGCCTTCCGGCTTCTGCTTTTCTTCGCCAATTTCTCAGCTATTTTGAGATTAGCCTGAATCATCTTGCTCCCAATGTTGTCCTTCATCTTTCTGTCTTTGTTCATCTTTGTGAAAATTTTCTTGAAATTCCTCCTTCTCTTTCTTTGTTTCATTACTTCTTTCGTCTGAAGCCACAACCCTACTGCGATGACACCAATGTTCTTGGTGGCTGCGGGATTCAGTTTCGCCAGGGTCTTAAGAGCAAATTCTTTGACTATGACCGGGTTGATTCTGTGAGGGATTGGCGTGTCGACTAGTTTTATGCCACCAATTTGATTCCTCCTCTTTTCGTTCATTCTGCATCTGGTCCCTTGGTTAATGACTGATAGGAAAAGAACCCCCTGACGATGGATGAGAGCCAAGCAATCAAGCCATTTCTTGAGAGGATATGTACTCTGAAGCAGCAGGGCTTGACCGGCTTCGGTATCGTCTCTAGTTTTCTTCGCCGCCGTGTTCAGCCTCTGAAGGAGCAGGAGAATTTTGGGTTTGAGTACTCTGGGGCGGATGACCCTTCTCGTATGGTCCCTGCCCTTGAGTTGACTGATGAGGAGGCGCTCGAGCGTCTTCAGAAGATGCTAAACGGAGTAAGCGTCGTCCCACTTGCTATCCTTGAGTATAGTGCTAACAACCCGCCTCCTGCTGTGAGTTGTTTTTTCTTATGCGGGTACTTTTTTAATTTCTTTTGCTGTCTCCACTTTTGCTTAATCTTTCTTGTCTAGTTGTTTTACTCTTTTTATAGGAATTGGGGCGTAACTTTATTGATCCGATCCCCCTTGATGACTACCCTGCTATTGTGGGGGCTAGGGATAGTCTTGCTGGGGCTTCTTTAACCAGTAAGTTTCAAACCACCACAATATTTCCTGGTGTTTCTTCTGCGGTTTCTGATGTATATGTGGAGTATGTTCCTCGTCCAATTCCTCGAGGCCCTCATAGTGTCAGAAAGAGGTGGCGAGCTGAGGGTTCTTCTTCTGGTTTGTTCGTTGCCAAGAAGTCTCGCTAGTCGAGTACTCGTCCAGGTACTCCAGTTGTAGGTAGCGTGTTCCTAGGTGAGCATATTAATATGTTTTGTCTTTTTGTGGTTTGTTTGTGCCTTGAACCGAGTACTTTTGTCCTTTTTCAGATGGCGCTATGGCTGCTTTGCTTGAGAGTGAGGAGGATGAGGACGATGATGCGCCCCTTGTCCCGCGTCGGTGAGTTGTTTCCCTATTTGTTCTGTTGTTGAACACCTCTTCTTGTTCTAACTTTGGTCTTGTCCTCTTGTAGTAAGCGGCCGTCGAGCTTGAGTTCTTCTGGGGCTCCATTACCGGCCGCGCCGCTCCTGTCGTAGAGCGGTGGTGATGTTTTTGCTGTCATAGTTCCTCCTGTAAGGTCTTCTTTTGGTTTCATGAAGAAGAAGATAGTCGAGTGAGTGATTCCTTGTTATGTTTCTTTGCTTCTATTTTCCTTTTTTCTGACTCATATTCTTATCGTTGAGTTTCCTTATCATCTTGCAGGCCCTTGCCATCCCTTAACCCTCCGCCGACCTCTTGTCAGTCCTCTGACGCGCCTCTGTGTGCTGAGTCTGGGGACTTAGCATGAACGGTCGGCGAGGTGGCTGTGAGGGGGACAGGGTTCCCTGATGAACCCGCTGCTGCTGACTCGGTGGCTCCGGAAGTGACCGTGGCCACGGCGGTGGGTTCTTCTAAGGAGGTAGCCGGGGCTTCCCAGGATATGGCCCTGGCCTTGCCTTCCTCGCATCGGGCGACTTCTCCCTCTGCTCCTCTTGGTGCCGGTGCTCGGCGCTTGGATGATGATGTGTTGCAGCAGTTCGATGCCACTCATCGTTTGTCAGAGCTGACTGCCGCCTAGGGGACCCTTTCGACTTCTTTTGGGGAAAAGCTCTAGGTAAGTTTTTCTGAATTTCTTTCTCTGGGTGTTCGTCTTTGCTTTGTTCTTATGCCTTCTTCCTCTCTCTCTTTTTGTTTAGTCTTTTTCTAGGGATCATACCGGCTTCTTTTTCTCGTCTAAAACCGAGAAAAAGTTGTCTTCTGAGGTGAGTACTCTAAAGGCAGAGCTTGACCTCTGTCGGGCCGA